CCAGCCAGCCAGCCAGCCAGCCAGCCAGCCAGCCAGCCAGGCGCCGGCCAGCCAGCCAGCCGCCAGCCAACCAACCAACAACCAACGAACCCGCCAGCAGCCAACCAACCAGCCAGCCAGCCAGCCGAACGACCAATCAACCAAGCGAACAAACCAACCAACAAAGCAAGCCAACACATCAGCAACCAAGAAAACAAAACACACACACACACACATGTGATCAGACGCCTGCGCCACATGCATGGAGAGGCTCAGCTGCGAGGCACCTTGAAAGCTGCACCTTGGAAGCTGAGCCACGTGTTCTTTTTGGGATGCACCTGGGCCAAATCTTGGCTAAGGTTAACATGCGGACCAGGCGTCCTCGGCATCTCACGTTCAAACATTGGAGAAAGTCAAGTAGGCAAAATCCAAATGCCCAAAAACAGCCGCAAATACCATGTAGAAGTCTGTTGTTTGCTCGCTGCTAGTGGCCTCTTGGCAATCTGCAAATATTTGTTTCTGTTTAACTACCCATATGTTTGGCGTTTTTTGAGTTGTCCATGTTCTATCTGGGTGTCCGTCACAATAGACAAGCTGGATGAGCCACAAGATTGAAAAAATGGGGCCGACAACACCTTGAGGAAATGCGGTTTCAGTTGCCTCGTGCCAAACAGGCCTGTTGTGTTAGACCTATTTGCAATGTCGGGAACCCTTTGAGGATGTTCCTCAAGCTGCGCAACTGGAAAGCATCCATCTTCTTCAACAAAGCAAATGTCAAGTATACAGTTTCTATACCATCGAGCAGTCTGGACCTTGTGATAGCACCGCAAACAAACAGCTGCCACTTGTTGCTTGCGTTGGACAATATTGGCAACAGCTTAAACAAGTCCTTCGAAGCTTGTTCAACGTTTCATGACGGTTGACTTTCCTGTGCATTTCGTTTCTAAATGCGTCGCCTCACACTTCTCGACGCGTGCTTCCTGGTTGTCAAAACGCACATTCACTGCTACACACTTGCCCGTGTTGCACTGTAGGCCATGGCACTCCGTTTATCAGCATAGTCAACCATGTGACGTTTAGCTTGTATTTCACTACTTCAAGAGATGAATATACAATGATGAAGTGGAGGAGCAGTGTTAGCAGGCATGTCAAAATGAAGAATGATTGTGTGCACGCATGAAGCTTTCCAGCACTTTGTGGCTCTACTTTACCCCACTGCATGGCCTTTGGAAGCTCCGCTTTTAGGAAAGGTTTGTAGCTGTCCGAGGAAGGCGCTGGCCGCAACTGAAGAACATCTGCGCGCCTTGGATTCCAGGGAAGGTTCCTGGTGTGCGACCCCACGCCTGTTGTCAGGCCACATTGACCGCCCCTGAACAAAAAACGAGGCAGAAACAGCCAGAAATCGGAAGCAAATTGGATTCGGCGCAACTTCTGAAGGGTCTGTCACATGCCAAACATACAGACTGCGCATGGAGTGCACCATAATCTAGCCAAGCTTCTTTTACATATGCCCATGTCTCTCCTCAGCATTTCTTCAATTATCTAGTCGAGCAACTCCTGTTGCAACGTGTGATGCCTCTGCTGGCTTGCAAATGGGGATTCTGCAAAGCGAACACGCTTGAGATTTGCCGGGACAATCGCCTCCGTGAATTGCACGGAGCCAAAATTTGAAACGGCCCGAACCTGGCTGGGCAGCTGGGTGGCTGGCCATGCTGCGTGTCCTGGCGGCTATTTCCAGCTCAATGCTTTCGGCACTTTGATCGCAAGCCGTTCCACCTGCTCAGGGGATTTAAAGCGACTGGCATGCCTGCCCCCTGAGTTGCCAGATATTTTGACAACACACCTGTTATAGAATTGGCAGTGAACCCTTGTTCCAAATCACGGAGGCAAACAAGCCCTTGTTCAAACACGATGTCAGGCTCAGCATCGCTCAGCGTAGCTCATGCATTGCGTCTCGAGTTGTGCCTAGCTGGGTCTTGCATCTTGGAAGATGCACAACTTGCTGCGTTCAACAATGTCAACGGGAATCCGTTTTGCAAACTGAATCCGAGAAAACATATTGTAAATCATCTGCTCCGGTGGCTTCCGGCCTCTGCCACCTCCTGATCAACTTTGCGAGCGCCCGGGATGCCTGACGTTTTGGCGAACAAAAGCCAATGACGGTATGCAAGTGGCGACAATGTGCTCAATTGACGTCACCGAATGAATCCATGCCACCTCAAATCTGTGAGCACGTTCAAGTCAATGTGTAAATGGTTGCAAGTGAGCCGGCCTTCAAGTTCTGAGGTCATTGAGCTCCAACAACATGCGCCACTCGAGCATCATACTACCTGCCAAGGAAGCCAAATACTTTTTGTAAGATGAAATTATCCAGGACTTCAACAGTGGTCCCGCTTACTGGACCATACTCAGGTGAGCTGAGGTGCAGCCTAGGCACCTGTACTACCACCACCTTGGCGCATAGACTTGAGATGGAGCTTTCAAAAAGCATATTTGCCCAGACAAAGCGAGGCCGCTGTTCCAGGCGGCAAGAGTGAGGAGAGCCTAAATCGCCTTGCCCAAAGCCGTTGCCGAAACGAGTATGAGCTGTCACCAAGGCACTGAGGCCGGCGCTACTACAGGATGGTCCACTACCACCTGGCAAGACGTTTTGCTGCTGACAGGCGGTTGCCAAAAATACACATGGTCACATGGGCATCAACTTACAAATATCCAGTCCCTGGCCCATGAGCCGGAACAGAACACATCCTCACCGGGCTCGCACTCGTTCGCTCGCGCTCAGACTATTGACAGGCCAGGCGGACGCTTCGAGGCACCTTAACCTCCCAGTGGTGACGGACCTGCAGTGATTCGAAAAGTGGATGTGCAACCAGGCAATTCTCAGCTGGTTGTTTGGAGTCATGCTTTGGGTTGGGGCCACTAGCTGTTCTTTGAACCTTTCTGTATACATATATATAGTTATATATATATAATATCACTCGTGCCACCAGGACCGATTGGAGGCAAGCTGAAGATCGAAGGTGAAAGTGACCGGAGCTAGGAATTTCGTTCTGCCAACAAGGTACCCAAGTGACCTTCAGGGGGTCCTGTTTTTGCAACCCTTGGCATGTGAGCAAATCACATTGTTCTTGCAGCCAGCCACAAAAACTAAACAGAACCCAACCAACAAACTGTGAAGAAAGGGAACAAAAACCAAAAACTGAACAACACCAAAAAACAAGGCAAGAACAGTGAAGAAAGGGACGTTTGGCAAAAGCGAAAGCGCGGCGCCCCGAGGCAGCCACATCGGTGCAGCTTGGGCAGGTCATGGAGCTTGCGGCGAAAGACCTGGTCGCTAGAGCCACAACTACAACTGGTCAGCTGAAGTTTGGCTGGCAAGGCTACTGTAAACACAGGCGTGAAATGTATTGTGTGAAAGGGGCAACTGGTATGGCAGGCTTGCCTGTGATATCAACCAATGAAACACGTCGAATGCAGCGCACCTTTTTGTTTGATGCACAAAAAGGGGGCAGCCCGCAGCTAAGACGCAGCACTTGCTGAGCTCTTTGCGACATGGCGAACCTCAGTACAAACACACAAACACACATGGACCAACCAGCGGACCGGGCTGGGTCTTCATTGTTGTATGACCGCATGGCGGATGGAGCCAAAAAAGACGAACTTCAGGAGGAATACAGCGCAAAAGCAAGCAAGCAAGCAAGCAAGCAAGCAAGCAAGCAAGCAAGGAAGGAAGCAAGGAAGGAAGAATGGGTGGACCAACGCTCCGGGATGGATGGGTGGGTGGGTGGAGGGAGGCAGGGAGGGATGGGAGGGACGGATGGAGCGTGACACAGGAAACCTTGCCAGGATGGTTAAACCTTCGGGTGGACCGCCACACAACCAACATGACCTATATCGCAATCAATTAGCAGCTGCAAACCAGCCTGAAGATCTATGTGCGATGGTTGAGACGTGCAGCGGATGGATGTGCCGCTTGGAATACCGACTTCCATGGTCTTGCACACGTACAGCTGCATGGGTTGGGAAAGGGTCAGCAAGACTCCGTTCCAATTGCAGCCTGGCAGCATCTTGGAGGGGGTGAATGGCTGCGAGGCAGCAAGGCGGCGAGGCAAGGCTGAGCCACAAGGGTGGCAGGCAAATTGCAGCGACAAGTTCCTTGTTTGGCTTGCTGTGACGTACTCCCTTTGAAGAAAGTCCGGAATAGCAGATTCAATTTGCAACACCTACATATTTAATACTCTCAACAGCGACAATCAATTTGCATCAACGCCCTTGCCAGGAAAGGGCTGTATCCCTATCATCTCGGCATACAAGCTTGTTGAGCACTTGCTACTTCAAGGTTATGACCTTTGCACCCACAGGCCATCCGGATTCTAGTAGGCAAGGTGGGAAATCGTCCGGATTGGCTAAATTGATCACATCGCAACTTGAGGTCACCGATTACGTAGAACTGAGGGACTCAATCAACCTCGTGCATCTGTGCCGCCGTGTGGCTGGCAGAAGACACCACGGGAACACCATGTAACTCCCATGTGTAAATCTTCGCTCTGCTGAGGTACTTGTGGGTTGACCTTGTCTCAACCACCTCTTTTTGCCTAGCAACTTGTTGAGTCTCAGCTGCAGCTTACCGCGCAGCTGTATAAGGAGGCCCCGGAAAGCGTGTGCACAATCCTCGACCCTCTGGCCTGACAGTAGCAACCCTGCTTTCACGGGGCCGAATTGGTGCAAGACGGGAAGACAATGAAGCCGTGCCTGATCTTCTTGAAGACATCAAGAAATTGCCATGTCTGACTTGCCCGCATCAGCTCTGATGGCCACCCTGTCTACCAAACTTTCACTTGAGACCGCCATCCCCAGACAGGGTAGTGGCAGTTTGCAGATTGCATGACCCAAGCAGTACAATGCATTAATTTTCTTTACACGTGCATGTTCAAAACTTGCTGTGGATTGCAGAGGTTCTCCCATGACTGCCAACAAAGGGATATGTAGACAATTGGGAATGAACAGCACTCACAACTTACATCAATGGCAGAGCTTCAAGCGATGTTGCCTGAAAGGGAGAAACTCAGCATCATTATTCTACAAGTAGATCGTCGTCCAGTGCTGTGCAGTGCAGCATCTTCTGATGCAGCAAATCTCTATGCAACACACCAAGAGAAAGCCAGGAAGAGAGACGGCCCGTTTGGTTTCGCACAATTCTTCAAGGTCTCACACATCATAACTCGCACTCCAAATCCGGGTAGTTTTGCAAGCGTGCTGGGGCTGGCGCCCGTTGCAGTGGCTCTCGGCTACCACCCCATACCCCGCTCGAGGCAGCTCACACTTGGCTGCTTGGCGGAGCACTCTCAGCACTCTCAGCATTCTCAGCACTCTGCGGTCTCTTTGCCCACCGCATGGGGATCATGAGCATGAAGCACAGCAGAGACGCAATACAGAAGGGCAGCGACAGGCAAGGCAGCCCCGGAAAAGCGGCAAACGCCCAAGCCAAGCCAGCGTACAGTGCTGTTGCCAGTACAGCGCCGATACACACGAAGGCTATTGAAGCTGCTGTTGGCAATGAGCACAAAGAAATCCAAGCAACCTTAGACCGTTGGGCCACTCCAACGGGGCAAATGTGTTTTTTCTTCTTTTTTTTCTGGATTCAACGCTGCATCAACGGGGTGGTGGCCGCACTTGCAAGAGACACGCGGCAAATCGTTCGTGTTTTACCAGCGTTTTGTGGAACAGCTGCTTTGCGCTGCATCGGCTTACACCCTTGCGAGGCCGGGAGTGAGCGCGGGAAGTTGGGGATCGAGGGGGGTGTTCTGGCGCAACATTGGCTGGCATCGCACTACAGTGGTCAAGATCAACACTCTGGCCCTTACGCTGCCATCACTCAAGTTTACAGCACTTGCAAGAGATGTACCTGTTTACAAACGCAAACATGTGACTGACCAGCATTTGTGCAGCAAACTTGCCCTGCGTTGCCTCAACATGTAAATACAGGATGAGGGGCGTGGGGAAGCTGGATGGGGATTGGGCCTGTTTTCGAGCTGGCCGCGTCTGCGTTATGGTTTGGCATCATCAGGCCAGCTTGATTCGGCATACGATGTGCAGCAACCCCCCTCGTTGACCCAACATGTTGCTTCAGATTCGCCTGGCTCTGCAGGAAGCTTGATTTTGGCCTATGGGAAGCTCATTCTCGTCCATGTTATGGTGTGCAGCCCAGCCTGCCAAACCTAGGCAAGCGAGTTTGTGGCCCTTCAAAGGGGCGTAGGACAAAATCCTGGAGCCTTCAAGATCGCACACCCTCCTTGGCCCAAGGCGCGGTGAGAGCAGCGTTGTAGCCCCAAAGCCCAGCCTCCACATGGGCAGCCGGCGCGCCGCAAAATGCGCCGCCCAAGGCCCCGATCAGAGAGGCGGCTAAAACACTGAAAGCGCCGTAGGGGCTCTCGTACAGGCACCCCAGGAACACCAGGACCCCGCTCAAAGGGCTGCGGACAAACATCATCTGCGCGACCCCATTCCTGAGAATCCAAGCGTGCCTGGGGATCTAACGGTCCTGATCAAAAAATGCATCAAAGGCAAAAACAAAGTAGAGGTGGTGCAGGTCCCACGCCATAGCCAAGTTTCAGGGTGGATTCCACCCAGTCTCCGGCGCTAAGCAGGTGGAAGTCTCCAGCCCAGCTCAAGGCCCCAGCCTCGGCGGGCACGACCCTCCGTCCGGTGGCAGCGCTCATGGTGCCCAAAGTCACCAAGGTCAGCAGGTTGAAGGCAAAGGAGAACTGCCTCGGGCAGTTCGATTGCGGCCAGCAGCCCAGCTTGAGAACGCTCGCATATCAAATGATGATGCTAGAACAACATAAGCAAAGGCGTTGGCAACGTTGCAGTTGCTACGGTCATGCGTGTAACGCGCAGTCTGATGTCCAAGGAACCTCCCCTCGAAAGGAACGTGCACCGCTGTGTCGCGCCACCAGAGATGAGGTCAGTTGAATCAGACTTTCGTATTTAGGAACAGATATGGCTGGCAAACTCTGATGTTCTCCACTGACTCTTGCTCCGGAGAGTGCTGACTGAGGGTCTTCAGGGTGACGTGTTGCTTACTTTAGTGATGGATTGTCGCGTTGTTTCTGCTGACCCAAAGACTAGATCAGGTGCAAGCCGGGAGCCCATTTGACCACAGCCCGTTTGCCCTAACCACCCAAAGTGCTGAGAAGTTCTCCGACAAGAACTTGACGGCAGGTTTCACACTGTATGCATCCCACAACATTAGCTCTTCACAATATGCAGCTGTATGTCGAAACCGCTGGCTTTGGAATTTGTTGTCTTGTGACAAGCATTCAACAGGAGGCTCCCGGCATGCGGCACGAATGTAGGAAAGGCTTGCCTCGAATTTCTGTGTGTGTGTGTGTTTGTGTGTGGGGTTCCCTTTTCGGGTTGGGAAGGAAGACCCGTGGTCCCATCTTAGCACAGACATGTTGCCTTGGCCTCCCATGCAACCAAAAGGCACCGGGAGGCGAGCCAAGAGGGCAGTGAGCAGCGCTGAGGCAGCACCCAGGAGTATCGTGGTGAGAGCGATCCAGGCGAAGCTCAACCTAGGATCAGGCAGTTTCATGAGCTTTGCCTGCTTTTGTGTGCTTTCTTTTTGCTTGCTTGCTTGCTTGCCTTTTCTTGCTTGTTTGCTTGTGTTGATGTGTCAGGCCCGCGCAGTTGCACATCTATAATTTGCTTCGTGGAAATGCTACACCAACTCATGCATCTGCAAGTATCATCAAGCTCATGCTGACTTGCATCTGAAGCAAGGCGCGAACAGAACGTTGCGAGGGCACAGCCGATCAGGACGCCATTGTAGCCAAAGGTGCCCTCACTGATGCTCTTAGCGTCCAACCTGAATCAAATTTTCTGGTGGGTGGCCACGTGTCACGTGCCCCAACATGAAGCCCACGTCATCGTACTGTTTCAGAACCAGTCCAGCCCCAAGCGCGTGGATTCCTTGTCCGAAAGCCGCCAAAGAAGATCATCCCAAGAAAAACGAGGCTGAGTGCAATGCTCAAATGGGGTGAGATCTTGACATCATCTGCCAACATAGCCATGGCATGTGCCGGAAGCAACGGCTCCTCGCAACGGTCCAACAGCTTGCTTGTCCTGAAATACCTGGAGTCTCCACGACTCCTCAAACATGGGGCCATGACCCCTTTCTTTTGGGTAATGACCACGTGTTCAAAGGGCTGTGGAAACTCCAGGCGCCTGTTTTCGGTGCCCCAGGCCTGCAGATGTGTGCCATGCAGGTCTGGGCCGCGCAGCCCAGCAAGGCCAAGGCGCAGACCTCGAGATCTGCGAAGGCCAGCGCCAGGCCGCAGAGGACACCCGCAGTGAGGCTGCCGCAGAGCGGCACCTCTGGAGCGGCGGCGGTGGCGGTTGATGCATCAGTCGGAACCAAACAAAGGGTGGCAGTGAGCATATCCACCATGGCATGTCAAGAAATCGCAGTCGAACAGGCGGGGTGTTCTGTGTGAACACAGAACACAGAGCCTGGGAGATCCCGCGCAGCAACTCGCACAGCAAGGAAGTCATGAACTGCTGCACCATATCTGAGAATGAGCCTTGGCTGTCTCCCCCCCCCGTGCATGGATGGATAGAGGATAGATAGATGGATGAATAGATGGATAGATAGATGGATGGATGGATGGACGGATGGATGGGTAGATGGATGGGCGAGACAAATGACAGATAAATACAAACACAGCAATGCAGATAGGCAGAAAAAGAGACAAACAGGCAGGCAGGTAGGCAAATAGACAGACAGACACACAGACAAACAGGCAGGCAGGGAGGCAGGCAGGCAGACAAACAGACAAACACAAACAGCCGATGACAAACTGTAGCCTCCGCAACCTTTCCTTCACGGAGCTTTCCTTTACTACCCTTGTGTTTGCCGTTCTTGCCCTGGCCTTGGTTGTACTGTGTAGCCTTTTGGTGCACTGACACTTGTCCTTGGTTATTGTTTTGTGGTTGTTGATGATGATGATGATGATGATTGACGGATAGAGACACGGTCAATCATTACTACAGTGGATGGATTGACTCTCAGCTGGTTTTTCATACACTGCCAATGTTGTGAACAAGTGTATCCAAGAGTAACACAATGTGAAACCTGTGTCATGGCGGTGGTCGAGATTCAAGTGCTTGCAATCTGAACTTCGAGTTCACAGTTGAGCCTGAACAAATGTAATGGGATTCTGGAGTACTTCAGCACCAGTTTATTGCATGACCATGGGAGCAAAAGGTAGGTAACCATTTTGGCCCTCATGTCAATCTAATACCGCCCAACCAACAAAGAGCGCGGCGACGGCTCAATGAAAACACCGGATGCATCTGGGTCTCAGCTTTTGTCTTCCAGAGAAGTTCTTTCTGGATTGCTGCTGTCGGCATTGTCAGAATCTGGCGTCTTGGTGTCGTAGGTTGGAGCGCCGAGCTCGATACCCTCCATAGCTACAAAACCTACCTGCCAGCTCAGAGCCGATGGGTCATGACGGTGTCCTTTGCTCCTTGACCTTGACGTTGAGACTAAACGCCCATGCACGAAAGCCCCAGCTAAAGCAATGGTCTGTTGATACACAAATCATTCGCAGCACGAAGCCTCTAAGCTTAGAACCACTGCTACAGCTTGGCTTCCATTACTCGCGTGGGACTTTTTTAATAAGCCACATCCAGGTACAGGTTTGACTGGCCTTCCCAAAAGTGGACCGCCATGTACATTGGCAAACACGGCCCGTAATCGCCGCACGGCTCCAAAACACGCGAGCCGCTTTTCTTTGCTTGCAGGGCACATATTGGCGGTGACAACTCCGTGGTCCTAGACTGCACCGTCAAAACTGAACAACTTCATGACTTGATTCTTGCGAACAAATCTCATCAAGCAGTCAAACCGCAATGCATTGCTTGGTGCTTAAGTGAGCTGTGCAACTCCAACAATGATGGTGTCATGGTGATCAGTGACACACCCCGAATTGCTTAGTGGATTTGCCATCAGCTTGTGAGTAGCCCGAGCGAACATGTCAAGTTTGGATGAGCTGGTCCCGAACTCAGATTCTGATTGACCACATGCCACTGGTTGGCTTGGTACTTCAACTTCATGGCTCTGTGTATCTCGCATGTGCGCGTTCCGGAGCGCGTCACAAAAGCGGCAGGCCCGCCGACGGATCCGGGGCTTTTGGAATATTTGACATCCTTAGCCGTGCCGAGTACTCAAGTTGCCAAGATGTCTCAGATTGTTCTAACAAACTACTGCGTTTCTCCTAAAGTTCAAAGAAAAAACAGCCCTGACAGAACTACGCCTTGCCGTGACTTGAAAGCAGAGGTAAAGAGATTTTGAACGAGACATGGCATGTCAAAAGCGTTGAGCATGGCTGCCGCTTCAGTCCAACGTTGTTGCTTGCCAGTAACGCGCTCACGTGCAAGCGACTGGTTCATGAATTAATCGTGCTCTCTCTTCGATCTTTGGTACACAAAAATGCGAGGATGTAACAGCTCAAGCAACCAATTAATGATACAATGTTCAAAAAATGGGTCTGGCCTGACGATAATCATCCAGCCAAAATGGGCATCTAAGGCTGAACACGTGTCATACTGCCTCTTCAACGATAAACCAAGTGCACCTAACAGTCCTAATGCAATCTCTTCTACAATTCCGCACCTACCTGCGGCTACCCACTTAAAGCCTTAAACCCTGACGGTCGCTCACTCAGATGATTGAGGCTTACTAAGTGAGTCTACACACCCCTGCCATCCTGTGCTTCATTTAGCATTTACAGAATCAACGCAACATCACTGCTCCAATCATCTTCAATCCTAGGCAAAGCTGACATTCAAACTGCGCGGTCTTAGCTTGAGCTCCGAGCCCTATAGTGGCCTCTGCTGCTCGTGCCGCCTGGCAACAGTGTGGCAAATCAAACTTTGCAGATTGCCGATTTTGCGTCTACCACTTGAGTCCCAATCTACGTCGTCAATCCTACTGCCCTAGACCACTGCTTGATAAACTGAAATGGACATTTCAGGAGAACTCCGGGCTGCATGCCTCCCGCAGCATCGCGTTGAAATCCGACTTGGATGAGTCGGAGCCTGCGATGCTCCAGCGCTGCAACAGCAGAGTTAAGAATTGTCCGGTTCGCCGCAAGGACCAAGCAAACAGTGCTCAGGTGCTGTCTGAGACTTACATACACCAATCAGACCGGCCCCAAGAAAGAAATGACAATCTTTTCACTTTTCTCGTCTGGAGCTACACTCCACCAAATTAACATGCTGATAAGACAAATATGGCATTGCCCTTTGTGTCAGGTAGTAACGCCATCTCCTAACAAGCCAAGGCAATTGAACTTTGGACAACGATTGCAACACCAAAAATGATGCTGCTGTCTTAAGGTAACAGTTCAAACAAGCTCGGACAACTGCGTGTGGCTCTGAACGTTACCAGTGTGAAATCCCAGCAACAATGTGAGTTTTCGGCAGCGCGAATAGAGCGACGATTCTGCCAAGGTCCGCTGCCAGCCGCCTCTGCCTCCACTCGGCGGCGCTTGCGCTTGGGCCGGCCTCAGGTGCGCTCAACGAGCAAATCAAATGACGGGTTGGGGTGTCGAATTTTCTTGAAGCGGCCGGGAGATTGGGTGAACACCCAGGAAACTCGCTACAATGATTGAACCGCCGATACACCCAATGGCCGCGACGGGCTGCATGATCAATGATTTCCGCCCTTGCCACGAATAACCTTACTCTGCAGGGCAATCTGATGCGACCTGTCCATCAGGTGGCTCAGGGCGAGGAGAAATTTGAAACATCGAGGAGGAGAGTACAAGTTTTGGATGCGTTGGGTTAAACCATGCCATGGCTCGAATCCCGAAACCTCCCTGTGGGAATCTGTCCAAAAGAGGGTTCAATGTTTTGGGAAAATGTCACTCCGCTCACGCCAAGGCCCAGACGGTTGCGGTCCCGGTGGCCCCGGCGACCCCGAGGCGGGAGGACCAGGTGCCGAGCCCGGCGCGGGCAATGAAGGGAAGGTGGGCTGAGGCATGCCTGCAACGTGATTTCATCACTGCCGTGCTGGTGGATGGTCAGGGAATTGGGAATGCCCAGTGCAAGGCGGTCATGAGAAGCGCCCATTCATCATCCAGGCGGGGCACGGCTGTTGATGGAGCAAGGCACAATGGCAATCATAATCAGGCGCCACAACCAAGATGTCTTAAGGGCCATTGTCGTTCGTGCTGCTCCTGCGGCTGCTGCTGCTCCTGCTGCTGCAAGCGCTGTTGTTGCTGTCGCTGCGGCCGTGGCTGCGGTCGCGGCTTGCAGCTTTGCTTGTGGTTGCAGGTGTTGTCGTTGTCCTTTTGGTTGTTCTTGCTGGTGTGGTACTGCTGCTGTGGTACTGCTGCTGCTCTGGTACTGCTGCTGCTGCTGTTGCTGTTGCTGCCGCTGCTTGTGTTGTGCTGCTGCTGCTGCTCGCTGTCGCTGTCGCTGTCGCTGTCGCTGTCGTTGTCAGTTGTCGGTTGTCG